GCCGCGCAGGGCCTGGGGCGTCGCGCGCCCCCTCACAGCCGCTGCCGCCGCGGCCTGCGGGGAGAGGCGCGAAAATAAACTCCGCGGAGACACACCGCCGGCTTTTAGGCTTTAATTTTGCTTCACGGAACCTTCACCGTTAAGAGAACATAATGAGGTTTAAACAAATGCTATTAAAGGCTTATCGAAACGTTAAAAATGAGTGTGGTTTAAAAAATTCTGTATTACATGATTTATCCCAAATCAACAAAAACTTATAAGCGAGCTTTCCTCAGAGCCAAATCTGACAAATTCTTTTGACTTGATTAACTGGAAAGACATCTTAGGAGTCATCTTTTTTTCCTCTCTGAGCCTTGTGTTGCTTGTGGTAATTCAAACACACCAACATTTGTACCGCAGAACTCACACTACAGACAGAATAAGTTACTTTATTACAAGATATATAGAACACATTTCCTCTATTTGCAATCTTATTTCAGCAGTTCCGCAGTGCAAGTACCACCACATCACAGGGTAGAAAATACCCAAATCATGACATAGGATATGTGAAGGAAATGAACTCAAATTATCAAAATTACAAAACAGAACTTGAAAGTATCTACAGTACTTAGGACATAAATAGTGCAAATTATATATCTACAACATAAGTATTCAGAATATCAAAAACTTTTCGAAATAGCCTTTTAAATAAGGTAGTTTAACCGGTCAGCAAGATGATGTTAGGGATTTTAAAACCAAATACAACACTTATTTTTTCAAGAAGAACTGTCGAGCTTCTTCCCAGGACTGGCGGGGGAATCTGTTGGACAGCTCAAGATAATCTTGAGAATTGAAAAATTTTTCTGTTGAAGACAGAACATAAAATTACCAAGTTATTCTCTCTTAAGATAAGATGGCAATAAAACAAGAATAATGAACATGCAGCCAATCTGAGATGCTTCAAATAATTTACTCCCCTCCCCCTACTAAAAATTTCTTAAACCATGGGGTGACATTTCAGTGGAGCTCTGGACATTGAAGTTTGGCTGTAAAAACAGGGGCAGAGTGCTCTAATGAGCAGAGGCTTAGATTTTTAAGCCTTTGGATCAGGCTCTCTGCTTTACACACTGGAACATTATACATCTTTGTACATTTTATGTTCTCAGACCTACTGGGAACTAATTCAACCTCACTCAAGTTCGAGCAGCCTCTCCGCTTAGCAGCTTCTTTTTCCACGGAGGGCTGCAGAGGAGTTTGGCTCCCTGATTCCCCCAAAGCTTGCAGCACGATTACAAATGCTCCTTTTACTCCTATGGGTACTGCTGGTGAAATGAACGGGGCTACACATGCGTGCACAGGTCTTGTGGGGTGCAACCTTTCGAGCAGTGCCTTGCAGCGCAGCACCCAACAATGAGGTTTGCATTTTCAAGTTTTATACTGAGCAGCATTATTGTTCCCATTTGTTTTTTGGGGACACCATCCTTCACATTCAAGTGATATAATGGATAAAACTAATCCTGCTTATACTATTATTAAGTCAGCTTTTATGCAACTGGGTAATGTTTAGAAATCACACTCGCATGTCACCACATTGTCATCTTTGTTTAGAAGTTCATTCAGTTTCAATAGTGAAAATAAAAAGCATTTTTCCACTTGGATTTTAGATGTTTCTCAAGCAGATTCTCAGGCAAACACAATCCTGGAAAGTTTGTGCTGCAGATACTGCACGACGCTGCTTCAGACTAAGAGGTATAATGTTGACAGGAAAAATCACCATAAATTTATGTTTAATTTATATTTTATTTTTAAACACAAAGTTTATGCTTTAGACATAGAACCGCTCATCTTCTGCCAAACATCCAGCAAAATGGTGGTGGATTTCTGCTTGCTATTGAGGAGAAATGACTGTTTGAGCGATGCACTTTATGCAAAATATGAGCAACTCGAGACAAGATTCCCATCAACACACTCGAATTTCAGATGTGTTTAACAAGTACGAGCTGTCTTAGCTGAAAATCTTTCAAACATTTAGCCTAAAGAGGTTAACTGCATTTTACACAATATTTACAACAGCTGAGGGGGAAAAAAAAAAATCACAACTCTTCTGCAAACTGACAAACTTTACAGGATAATTACTGGATAGTATTTTATTAATTTTTGGCTCCTTGAGAGTATTGGCATGGCTGTGGCTTCTGCAACCTAAAACTTTTGAAGGTAGCCTTTCTGACAGCTAATTAAATGTGTGCACCTACAGTATCACATTTTCAGACATGATACCACATAACATTTAATAAAGATTAACAGTCTGAATTCCTGATATGAGGAGCAGCAGACTGGAAGACATGTATGTGGAAGCCAGAATATAAGCTAGAGAGCCTCTCCCCAATCTGTAAAATCATTTTGCAATTTACTCTATTTCTTTCATTGTGATGCAGATTTAAAAAAAATTAAATCACAGTAAAATATAGTATCTACACATTTTGTTATCCAATTTCTACTCTGTTACATTTTATTGAAGACGTACCCCTCTGCTGAGATAACTGATTATCCGTCTGGCCTGAACTCTGTGCAAAATCCTATGGGGGAGGAAAAAAATGGCATCAGGTTTTCAGATCTTACATCTGAGGAATTAAAACAACATTTTAAAGGCTTCACAGTCACTCAAAAACACTAACACTTTATGAAATCTGTAAATTAACAAACTCTGTCTTGTTTGCTACATATCATAACAGAATACTGCCAGCACTTAAATTCTATGATATAGCATGGATTTTTATACTTTTATTTACCTTTTTTGAAAAAAAATGTACTTTTAATAAACAACAGAAAAAAATAAGGTTTTATTATCTTCCTAGGAAATAGTTATTATAATGATTTTTAATCTAAGAGAACATTTACTATAGCTGTGCTTCTTTAAAACAAACGGTGTTTTAGATTTATGTTCCTGACTCCAAATTAACAAAATTCTTGAATTATCCCAATTTCATTGGCTGTGCTTCCCAGTGACGTGGGAGCCCGAGGTCTTGACCTCCTGAGAGTAAGTGAGATTCTTCCACAGCCGTGATGAACCCTGGCCAGTGCTACAGCCAGCTGTGTAACCAGCTGAAGTGCAGTGAATCTAAGTGCCCGACACGACGTGTGATCCCTGCTGCTATCGGACATTATGCCGCAACCTCTGGAGTCAGCAAGGACACCCACCAACTTCGCTCAGAACAATGTATGATTATGCAAGTCAGCTGCCCCAGGATGGAGAGGGCTTTTAGGATCCTATCTTTTGGTTGAGTTCTGAGCAGAGACAGTATTATTTGACGTAAGGGATATGATTTACCAAATCATGGATATTCCTAAATGTTTTTTTTCATTATTTCAGTACATCTAGAAACAGAAGTAACAAAAATAAAAAAGATGATGCAAACTTTAGATGATGGAAATAAATCTCTTGCTAGGGAGGTATAACGTGGATTGTTGTAAAATCCAGCAATTATTTTCCTTTGATTTACACTGCACACATTTAACACACTGTATTTAAGTGTTATATTTGTACACACCACCAAACTTTTACGTAAACGAGACTTCTTTTTGCATTCCCTGGCACAGGAAGAATCTCATTTTCTAGTCATGGGGAAACATTCTGCAGTCTTTCCCAAACCCTCCACTGAAGCAAATGAGAGATTTGCTTGACAAACAGCAGCGAGTTGAAATAAAAGTAGAGAGGGAAGTCTCTCCTCTGTGTGTGCGGGTATCTGAGCATTTCTTGGTTCCTTGCAGAATTGTTCTCTGTGTGTGCGTTTGCACGCGCGTGTATGCAAAGTTTGGTATTAGATTTTAGAATGGGTAAAACTTACTAAAGTACAGGTGAAGTCAGCAAAGACATGACACTTCACAAGCACACAAGGATCTTCCATATTTTAATAGTACACCTTTTTTAAAAGCCTGAAAGAATAGTATGTGGACTTCGCATCAAAGATATACCTCTAATTGGAAATCAAATTAATAATGTTGACCCTGATAAATATACTTACGCTTTGCTGTAGCTGCTGAGGGTTTAAATTACATTCTTGAAATCAAGGTAAATAACCTTAATTATTCAAATAGGGAATGCTCTCCCCCTCTCTCATGTTTTTGGTTGGAAAAAAACCAAATTAAATTTGCCGCATTTACTCATAATGCTTCAATTATTCTTTGCCACTGTTAATGTCTACACTGAAATCTGTAGTTTCAATATAGGAAAGTCAAAGTAAAACATCAATTATAGTTTTGTATTTAATCAGAAGTTCACTATAATATAGCAAATTCTTCTAATACTAAGTTCCAAACTTTTTTTTTTAAACTGCTATGCAATTATTTTAGTATTAAAAGGATAAAAAGTAGCTGCACTCAGAAGTTTGATGTTATGCTAAGACTTTTAGTAAATATTTAGTTCTTGTGACTTCTCTCCCAAATCCGTGCAGCTTACCCTCAGAATAGCTGTAAAGCATTAGGGAAAAAAGAGTTTGACTATAACATTTCTATATCAACAACAGTAACTTTCAGGTGACTGATACAGAGTTACTATACTCCTAAAAGCATATTGTTTTTTAATAGTAGAGTGTTTATGAAAACTGCATTTATTCATAGGAAAGAGTCAGTAAAATGTATGGAAAACATGAGGCACGCATAAAATCTGATACATAAAGCACAGCATACAAATTTAGACAAAGAGAACAAAAATGCTGTAAATCCTTATTCAAAACAGTATTTGTAGTGACCTCAGTGGCTTACTGTCAAAAATAAAGACTGCAAGATTAGACCGGTAACATATGTTCTGTGTATTTTCTGAATAAAATATATACACTTCTGTTCAGTTCTCCCTGTAAATCTACTGTATGCAGTATACAACTGTACATTTGTATGTAAACACATTAATATACCGATTTCAGATATGCTATACTTGTAGTTTTTTAAAAATGAAATACTTTAAGAATTGTCCTGTAATAGCAAGATCTACATCAAATCTTCCTGGCACGCCCAATAACTTTAATGAAAACAGGATTCTGCATGTGACAGTGAGAACCTGAACGACTCCATAACCTTTTAGTGTTATAAGATGCCTCAAGTACAGGCATAATCTGTGGTTTGAAAAGAGCTGCAGAGAATCTTAAAGTACTTCAATGCTGTTCACTTGTTTTACTTAAGTCAAACGATTCCCATATACACAGCAAAGGCGAGAAAAACTCTTGCAGTTATCCTGCACACTGCTGTTCTGTTACTGCAATAGCTACCTGAATGAACGTGGCGAGTAAAACACAACTCATCTCCTGCTCCAGGATGATCTTGTTCTGAGGGTTATTGTAACAAGCAGCTATTAGCGAAGGGAAGAGCACTTTGATTAAACGGGGATCACTGAAATACTGGAAAGGCAACTGGCATAGTTTTTGCAGCACTGTGGGGTGACGGCCAGACTGTACAATGATCTGAAAATACAAACGTAACAAAATTAAAACACGTGATCTATCTGTTCTTCTCTTCCTGTTAACCACCAAGGGTGTTGAAGTCATGCTAAAAAAATGAGCATGGCTGAGGAGTAAATACTAAAAATAAGGCTTATAACATTTAGTCCAAGTAATACTTGCATGCTAAACCAGAAGTTATTTTTATTGCAGAGGAACACAAAGACTGTAAGACTGTGAAACTTCTTTTTCTTGCATCACCCAAAAAGATAGCAAGCAAATGAGAAGGGGATTAATCTGCCTATTACAATAAAGCAGATATTTAATACCTTCATCCAAAGGACAAAGAATTATAGCAAAGGGACTATTCTAAGTAATAGCTATGAAACAAAAACCCCCAGCCCCTGCCATTTTAACACAGTAAGCATGTCTTTAGGAAAACAAAACAAAACAAAAAAACCCAACCAAACAAAAAAAACCCCCAAAACAAAAAACATCAAGAAAGAGATCACCAGGACTGTAAAAACCCTCCCGAAGCTGGATCATCCTTTACTAGAGTGCTCTCCTCTCTGGCAATTAGAGAGGACTCTGTTTCATGGTAGATGTCTGCCATGCATTCTCAGGCACGAAAAAGAAAAGGTGATTGTAAGCTGCACAGCAAGGAGTTTCAGTAAGTAGAGCCTCAGAAAGATCCTCCCATCTGTATTTCTTATCTCAGTTTCTATCAGTGCCATTGACTCTAAAAGGAGAATTGTTTAGATAAATGGGACTGTTGTCATGAAGCAGGCTAAGTTTACAACTGTGTACATCTGAAGAAATAAGGCAATGCTATTACTGGTCTCCTGCAAAGGAACCTTTTCAATTTACTTGATATTCTTATAAAGTCTCTGTGATAAACTAAAAAATGCCAAAATCGGATCTGTTCCAAGTAACCTTGATTAGACAATTATAATATGAAAGAGCTGTTTGACCCAAAGTTGGCTTTTCGGCATAGGAGGAAGCTCCTATAAGGTTAGAACACTGTAAAACTTAGGGACACGGCTGTAAATTGTACTTGGAAAAACACAATTTTACAGGTACACACCCAGACAAGACTGCATTCAAATTAAAACCAGAAGGACAGAAAGAAGCACTTGAGAGCACAGGAACATAAATTACAGGGATTTACAAGTTTTCAAAGCACTTTTAACAATACCTTCAGAGCACACTCTCAGTTGATAATGCAGTTCAGTTTAAAAACAAGATCAACAAAGTAATAGTTTGCATTTTTTTTCAGTTTACCAGCAAAAAAGATATTCAAAACCTTTCAAAATACTGGTAGAAATGTCTTCATGCCCTTAAAGACAGGAAGAATTTCTAAAAGACAGCCAAATACGTGACAATTAAGCATACATTCAGACAGTGTTTTGAAGAAAGTATCACTGAAGCATTTGGATTATTCTAAACTATTGGCTACCACCCAGTAAGCAAGAGGGTGCCTTTGAAGTCTGTGATTACTGTTTGAATTTTAAATTATCTGGAGTGGTTATTATAAAAATCTGTTTTTCTATGGTAAATTCTACAATCAGAAAAGAACTTAAAAAAACTCTTAACTGTACTAAACTGAACAACAGAATTCTTGATTTCTTTTTAATGGCCCCTGTACACTTGATGAACAGGCAGAGGAAGAGAAGTTTTTGAGACTTAATTTTTCATTTCACACTTTACTTCCTTTACCTGTTCTAAAAATGCCATGGATAATTAGTGAACTCCTGCCAAACCAACAGTGCAGATACTCACTTTCATGGAATAATAATGAAATAATAATTCCACTTTCATGGAATTATTATTTCATTACCTTTTCCTTTGCAACGTTTTTACTACTATGATTTTATTAACATTAAAGATAGGAAGGTATATACAAGAGCTGCCAATTGTTTTAATCTGGCATTTAGCACATGTGGAATCAATTTAATGATTTCAGCTCATTGTACCAATGTAGCAACTAAACCTGATATGCTATATTATGTACTCTGAAAAAAACAAAAAAACATGAGTCACCTCTTACTGGAAAAAAACCCAAACGAATAAATCTCTACCAGAGCACATATTCCTTTTTTCACTGTCAGCTGGCAGAGAAAGTGAAGTCCAACAATTGATTTAGCAGATTAACAATGAAGAAAACAAACTTCTTTACCATAGAAAAAGACTTCTCTACTTCACTTGACTGAATGATTCCAGGGAGTTTTGCAGGCCTGGAATACTCATCTTACAAAACACTCTAATACAAGATACAAACTTCTTCCTGAAATCCAGTGCAGAAAACTTGCTTTTTCTCCTGCCACACACTGGAATCCAGACACATTTACCTAGAATTAGCTTTTCTTGTTGGTCTCTCTAGCCTGAAAGTCAGATATGCCTGTCAAAAGTAACAAGATCCTAATTAAATCACAGCATTTCTGTACAGCCAAGCATTTAAGCACCTGCTTAACTTCAGATATGTGCCTAGGTTCCATTAATATTTGCTTGTGGTTTTCTTTTTCTGAATTGAGACCTATCAAATTAGAACAAGCTACATTTTTTTTTTTAATTCAGAGCAGGCAACTCACATTAATGTTTTCTATGTTTCATTAAAAAAATTTTGCTTACTCTCAAAATTTATACATATTCATGCAACTTTATTGTTTTTGCCTGTGCTTAACTTAAATAAATTCCAAAAAAGAAGTACCTGCTTAGCTTAGCTTATTTTTGGCCTAACACAGTAAATATTAGAATAACCCTGTGAAGACCCAAACAAGGCACAGGTAAGAGACTCAGCAAATACACTTCTGAAATGCTATTTCCTAATGAATTAATGAAGTTTTCCTTTGTGCTTCCAGTGAAACTCAAGACCCTGACAGATTTCAGAGGAAGTGCCCCTGTTACAGAGCATGGTGGAGTGATTCAGGGTTAGCACACCAGAAAGCACTGGCCAAAAGCACCGTCAGCCCTCAATGTAAAAGCCTGCTGAAAATGAGGGGCATCTTAAAGCCCGCACTGTGCTGAACTGAAGCAACCCCTATGCCTATGTCAGCTTATATAAGCCGACAGTTAGCAAGGCTGCACAATATACACCACTCTAATATCCAACTGTGTTTACTTTCAAGCTTTGCTAAAAGACCTTTAAGAATACAATTTTCCCTGCTTGGTCTCTGAATTTCCAGCTTTCCTACACCGCATACGCTGCACCTCTCGAGCCCACACTAGCTGACTGACCAGCACAATGACTAATGTGACGACCTGTGGGAACTTTTTCCTGAGCAACACCATTCAAGGTTGCCTATCAGTTATCTTCTGTCACTCCCACCAGTTTATAGCCTTCTGCAGGTCCCACTAATTTGCTTAATCTCCTATAGCCAGAGGGTCAGGCATTCTCTTCTGCCCTACCAGGCAATCCATGCTCCCATGTGACTCTTTGGAAAGTGCACTCTGTGCTCACATGCGCAATAACCATCTTGATCCACTGTATTGGTGTTTCTGAAGTTTATCATTTAGGAAAGCATGATTCATGATTTCTAAAGTCTCTAAATATTCACTAGATATTCCCAATACTCACTATATAGTATATTGCTTGGCCACTTGCTGCAATTCTTCTAGCTGCAAAAGTCTGAAGCAGCATAAAAGTCAGTCTTTCAAAACAGACTACAATGACAAAAGCCAGCAATATACCACACAGCACTTGAGCAATAAAACAGGACAATCAATCAAAAGAATTAAAAGCTCCCTGTGGTATGGAACAGTAATAAAATTGTGAGAGGAACTCATTGTTTTGCTGGGAGAGAAGGCTTCCCCTGTCACCTAGGCGGGGTGTCTGCCTGCAGACTTGAGGTGACTGCTGGACAGATATTCCATCCTGGATTCTGCAGTAGTTCTTCGTGTTCCAACCAGGACAGCTCCAGCAGCCACCTTCTCCTGTCACTGCTTCCTGGCACCTTGCAAAGGAGATCTTCCCAGGACTCAAGGCTTTTCCTAGAGAACTAATAAGTCATATGGACCCAAATAACTTGGGTACAAGCTTCAACTCTGGGTAGCAAAGGCTTTTTTTTTGTTGTTGTTCTTGTTGCTCCAAGGGCCCAGAAGTAACTTTATGATGATCCTGTAGGAATGAGAATCATAAAAGTGTGACTCCTTTCCTTGCTTGCAAGGGCAGGGGCATAACAACTGCTGGCATACACAGGGGCAACCTTTGCATGACAACTAGCAAGGGAAAGATGTTTTGGTGTACACCTCCTAATTCTATTTACATACTGTATACACATATATTTGTCTTTCACACAATCTTTCTGTATATTCCTTTTATCATGAAAAAAACCCTACAATTACTTTTAAATGCATATGTATGATTTTTTGTCAAAGCAGGGTAAAACTTTGTAACTAATAGGATTCAGATCTTTCAAATGATACAGAAGGTTATCAGCAGTTACATGTCAAATCAGAAGTAAAATCTTACCAAGTCAGTGGCTAATTTTACAAGAAAATTAAAATAAGAATCATCTAGTCTTTGAAACTGTACCTTCATAACCAGGTAACTGAGTTTATAAGTATCTTGTAAGTAATAAACTGAATTTCATTGAGAAAACTAAAATGTCAGCCAGAAAGTTGAAGAATGACTGTATGTAAAATATGCAACAAATATTAGCCAAACTGAAGTGAACTGGTAATTCATATATTCGTATCATTAATATATTCTAATTAGACATGTAATGTAGATGCATGCTACTAAATTTTCAAGAACTAGTAGTTCAATCAAATTGCCTTGTAAAGATTCACATTTTTTTAACTACGAAGTAGCATTTTCGGTGACAATTGGAATTTCTGTTTCCAAATTGTAACGGCACACATTTTGCATATGTAAAGCATTTAAAAAAAGAGAAACTAATGGAATTTAAAACTTTGCCTGCAACCTTCCTGAGATTTAAAGAACATTAAGATCACAGCTTGGTCGTTAATGGTTCTATGCATGTATGTTAAATATTGTCAGATATATTATTGCAAGTAACAAAAAC